TGTATTAATAATATTTACAGAAATGCATTTCATAATCACTTACAACGTCAAGACAGTTTTAGAACTATAAAAGTTGTATATTTTAACTCAATCTCATACTCGTTGTCAAATCTAAAGTTACCTTTTAATTAATGACATATAACTGTAAAAATAATAAATGCCAACATCTCGATTTCTTTACCAGGCTATAACAGCAGCAGGTAAAGGGGCCGTTGGCTTGATATCGTTCCCAGACCCTACCAGSAACAGTCCTGACGGCATTTCACGTGAGGCCACATACCCAAATACCCCATGGCTGTCTCAAGATGCYATACAACTTCAATCATCATTCAGGAAATCTTATGTCGGGGACAAACTCACCCCGGGTATACCCGCTAAAGAATGGGCATTCAGAAAGCCGTACCGCAATGATAGCAGTTTCTTGAAAATACCGGTGCAACCAATCTCGTATGGACAGGCAAGAGAGCTKTTAAAGCGAATGAAAGGTTGGTGTATAGGGGACGTGATGTCTATCTCTTTGGACATACATATCAAAGAATTGCCCCACAAAGTTTGTCCTTCRTTTAGCAGCCATATATGGTAATCTTACCTTATTTGGAAGTTCGATAGGAATGGTTTTTGTCGATTTTATCGACTTTTAAAGCTTGAAATCGTCTGAAACTTGCAGATATTATAGCGAAAACACTTCTAAACAATCCGCCATTTTGTTTGCTTCCATATATGGCATGAATTCGCTAAAGGAATCCCAAAACTAAAAAGCACAGGGAACCCGCACGAATGATATACAATTCTTTGGTATGTGTCTTATTTTATCTGCAATTGAATGATGTTTGCAGCTAACGTTCCTTTCTTGGTGACTGTATCCAAGGGGCCGAAGTGCTTTTTCACATTCAATGAATGGAAAGATTGGCTTTGGGGAAAACCACACTTGAAATTCTGAAAGTGGGCTGATCTTGTATTTTTTGTTTTCATGTAGTATTGTGAACAAGTGTGAAAACTAAAATACATTGACAGGAAGAATAACCCGAAACATTTAAACTAAAATGAAATGAAAGGAAAAAAGTGCAAAGGACGAAATCTGTGGCAGAACTGATTCACTTCGTTAATAGACCACAAAATCATACTAACTATATATATACGTGGTTTCTAATAATGTGATGTATTTTCCAAAACTGGTGACCTCTGTAACAGAAGGAACCTGTATTTTTGTTTTGTTGACACTTGTYCAATTTTTGCATTTTTGCTGCAGGCCACAAGGTTCCTCCGAAATGGCAGATTCCGCAGTTCAACATGACTCTAAGRACAGGAATAGGATTTAATAATGACACCCTGAAGGTCAAACTAGAAGTCAACACGCAAACAAAGCTCATGTCAATCTACAACGTCGTTGGAACAATCACCGGAAGTGACGAACCAGATCGTTACGTCATCGTCGGAAATCATCGTGATTCGTGGGTACTCGGAGCGGTGGAYGCACTAAGTGGTACATCCACGACCCATGAAATTGCTCGAGTTCTTGGAAAGCTAAGAAAATCTGGTTGGAGACCGAAGCGAACTATCAAAATTTGCAGCTGGGGAGGGGAGGAGTGGGGGCTATTTGGTTCGTCAGAATGGGTCGAGCAAAACTCTAAGATACTGACTGASCGAGCTATTGCGTATATCAATTTGGATATCGCTGTACAGGGGAACTTCGTACTGCGGGCTCGAGCAAGTCCACTTTTCAAGGAAATCACGCACAAATGGGCGAAAAAGATTCAAGATCCAATGTCCACAAACGGGAAAACAACGATGTACGACACTTGGTTGAAAAATACACCATCACCATATTTCAAGGGAGAGCCTSAACTTTTCAATAACTTTCGTAGCAGCGATTACGTCATGTTTTACGACTATCTTGGGATTCCCTCAAGTGATTATGGGTACTGGTTCGGTCATAAAAATGAATCCACTATGTACCCTGTATATCACACCACGGAAGACACTTTTTATTGGGTGCAAAAATTYGTGGATCCTGAGTTTAAGGTGCATAAGGCAATGACGCAGTTCAGTGGGGGTCTAATACTTGATTTATCTGACTCGATATTGATACCATACAATGTTTACGACTTTGCTAAAGTTATAAACATYTCTTATAATATTCTAGATGGCTCACATCTTATGAAGTCGGATGTCTTCCTAAGAGAAAACATGAAATACCTATCTGACTCTGTACAAGAATTCTTAACTCAAGCAAAGAMGTTTGAGCAAACAAGATCAARAATTACTGCTAAGARCTCAAAGTTACAAATACGCAYGATCAATGATAAATCTGTTGGCGTCGAAAAAGCATTTATTGCACCTGATGGCTTCCTAGGCAAACCATATGATAGACACGTGGCTTTTAATTTCGGGTTTRAKAATGTTGAATTTGTACAAGCTACATTTCCGGGGTTGACAMATACCGCTTATGAAGCGCTTGATACAGGGAACTGGGAACCAGTTMGACAACAGCTCTCATTGGCTATTCAYTCAGTGCGCATGGCAACAAGYGTCATCAAACCTTGAAAATAGTATTTGTGTCCGTTTGACAATCATGACATTATCAAGTCTGTGCGCTTCTTTGCCACAAATCCTTTTCTTCGATCTTRTGTTGCCGTGACGCACAATCGTCCGCGAGTGAGTTTTGCATATTGCAAAATATCTCTCTCGGTGTAGAATTATCAAAATGTCGTTTGGTTTGTTATGATCGAATGTATAAATGTTAGTGAGCTCACTTGATTAACTCAAAATATTTGTTATTATTTTCAAATGCCAGACAGTCAATGTTTTTGTTGAGTAAGGCTTAATTGGCTTTGCCGACATTGAATGGAAACTGGGAAGGAATAAGAATGTAGTCTACAAGAAAACTGAACCTCACCGTATGAGATAAGCTAGGAGAGTACCATAATTATTTTCAGTTTTTAGTCTATTTGGATGAATATTCACGTTGAAACGAATATTTGAAACTTTCAAAAAAA